CACTTCACAGATAAGAGACCCCACACAGAGAGGTGCCAAAGATCATACAGAAAGCAAGAAAATGGCACAGTCATGGTCATGGTCAGCTTGGGCTCAAGGGCAGGGATCTATCAAGGGGGGTGTAAAACTCAGCATGGGAGCAAAACTCAGCATGGCAGAGACTCCCCAGGCTGGAACGGTGCCAATGAAAGGAACCTCTACCAACACCGCCCTTGGGCTCCTCCTAAGCGGACCTGCTCGAGACTCACTTTCCAGCCCCCTCACCTACCTCCAGCTCACAGTCCTCAGGGGAGGGGGTCCCTAGATGAGGGTCACTGGCTTTGTCCAGCAGCTGTGTGAGGAGGGCCCGAGGGAGCTGCTGGGTTGTGAACGGGTGCTGGAAAGTCGGAGAGGGAGGTGATCGGGTTGGCCCCCGATCCAGGGCCCTGCTTTTGAGCACTGGGCCCCTCTCCCGGCCCCCCGCCTCCCACCTGCAGGAGCTTCTCTGCTGTCGGCCTCTTCTTGGGATTCTTGGTCAGGGCCAATTTGAGGAAGTGGTGGAAATTCTGGGTCCTAGTGGGCACAAGAGCCCCCCAGATCCAGGTTAGCCCTCGTGCAGGGTGTCCTGCCAGCCGCCCCATCACCCCTCCAGAGGTATGTGCTGGGCCCGCCCAGGAAGGAGCCAGCTGAGGCCGAGGGCCACTGGCCAAGCAACGCTGCCTTGAGACACAGCGGCTCCTCCACCAACCGTCTGCCCTTCCTTCCTGACCACGCTGGGTCTTCAGCCCACAGAAGGACCAGGCCCCTCACTCAGATGGTCTGTAGTGGCTCAGAGAGGACAGGGCTCTTGGGGTTGCCCCCCGGGAGCTGGCAGAGGCTCCTTGTCCACTACGGGGCTGACAGAAAAGGGGGTCCCGGCAGCAGGGTGCGGCCCTTACCAGCGAGTCTTATCTCTCAGTTTAGGCGGCTGGAAGCTGCTCTTCGACATGAGCATCAGGGCCCTGTGGAGGGCGCGAGGTCAGGGGCCACGGGCAGCAGGTTAAGGGTCAGGTGAGGGGCAAGTGTTGGGCTGACCTCATGGGGTGCAGGTGAAACAGAGGGGGCTGCAGCTCGCCCAGCTCAATGGCGGTGATGCCCAGGGCCCAGACGTCACATAGCTCGTTGTAGCCACCTTTGCGCTCCACGGCAGCCACCTCCGGAGCCATCCTAGAGGTGGGGTCACAGATGGGATGGCCGGGTGCCCCCCTCTGTGGCCCCTGCCCCTCTGCCCTAGGCGCAGCCTCACCAGTAGGGAGTCCCAATGAAAGACCTCCTCTTGGCCACAGACGCTGTCAGCTCGCCTGACACCCCAAAGTCAGCTGTGGGAGAAACAGCCACTCTCACCAGCCCTCTGGCTGCCACTCACCCTCCCACACCCAGGGCTCTGGCTCCGGCTGCACCTGGCAGGGCTCAAATGGGCAGGTGGCCCTGCTTGGTCACAGCTGCCGCAGGCCCTAGGCAAGGCCAGGTCCCTCTCCTGAGAGGCATCAACCACCCTCTATCCCTGACGGAGTGCCTGGTCCCGTGTCAACTCCGTGCGGACCCAACCTCCTCCATCTTCCAGCAGGGAGAGAGTACCGTTCCATCTTCTAAGCAGGGAAACTGAGACTCAAGTGGCAAAGTGACTCGCCCAGTGACACCCAACCCTTGAGTCCAGGGTAGCCAGGGAGGGTCCACAGAACCCTCACCCTGATCGTGTCCCCAGGGTACTGACCCAGCTTGACATCTCCCTGGAGAGTGAGGAGAAGGTTGGCTCCCTGTGGGAATGGAGGAGAGAGAATCCCGTCTGGTGCCCCCGAGGGCCTCCTCCTCCCTCCCAGGAATGCCCTCGGCCTGGCGCCTACCTTGATGTCTCTGTGGATCTTCCCCTGAGAATGCAGGTGGTGGAGCCCCTGGGGACAAAAAGGAGTCCCTGAGAGCAGCCACCCAGCACTGTCCCACCTCCCCCGAACCCCCTCTCAGGACTGGGGCCCCCCACCCAGGCTGCTTCTTCCTCCCCTCTCCCCAAACAGGAAGTGACTGAGCCAAGAGGGAAATGGGCTGCTTCCGGCAACAGGGCTGGGGCCCCTCTTCCCCAGGACCTGGCCCCTCGGGCCAGCCCCACCCGAGGCACTCCACCCGCCTCCCTGCTGGTCATCTGGGCTCCCAGCCCACAGCTTCTGGAGACCAGAGGTGTGGGCACCTCACAGGCCCAGCTACCTTCAGAGCCTCTCGGCAGACGTAGGCAATCTGCCGCTCCTCCAGGGGCCCAGTGGCTGAAAGGAAAAGGGAGAGGCTGGCCTGGGGGCTCGGGGTCATGCCCACCCTCCCAGGCTACCCTGTGTGGGAAAAGCAACAGGCACTGTTAAGTGAAAGCCGTGTTGGCCACGTCCCCTCCCAACTTAGTGTAGGATACTAAAGCCAGAGATGGACAGCATTTCTCTCAAGGTCACACAGCCAGGCAGGAGTGGAGAGGAGCCCAAGTCCAGGGCCCAGAGTTCCCCTCCGGTACCCCAATGGGGTGGGGGTGGGGGTGGGGGAAGGCTGGGGCCTGCTGGGGCCTGGAGCCGTGGCCTCACCATGGTAAATCTCCTGCAGGGAGCCCCCTCCGCAGAACTCCATGCAGATCCACAAGCGGTCATTCCTAGGGGACAAAGAGCTGGGGTGGGCACACAGTAGGTCGCATGGGGGCTGCCTGGGGCCAGGAGGATAAGGCAGCCTCACCTGAGGTAGCTGCCAATGTAGGCCACCACATTGGGGTGACGGCACTCACGCAGGATGGTGATTTCCTGCTGGAGGGAGCTGATGTCGTCCCCTGGGAAGCACAAAGCATCATGGGGGGGCGCGCTGGGGTTGCCCTGACTCAGTGCCCCCATCTGCAAAATGGGCACAGAGTGCCTCCCTCCGGACCAGGCAGGTGCCAGGTGACAGCACCTCCTGGGGTACGCCTCTCAGGGGTCTCGGAAACGTCAACCCTCCGCCCGCACCCCGCGCCCGCAGGCAATCTGCCCTCCCTCTGGCGTAGAGGCCCGACCCGGGCCCTCACCTGGGTCTAGCTTGACTATCTTCACGGCGGCCAGTTCGGACGTGACCGTGTCGCGGGCCTACAGGGGCGGAGGGTGAAGCGGGATGGGGGGCGG